CAAGCACTTCCACACATTCTCCAACCATCCTCTGTGCATAGGCAGACCAAAGCCCCACGGAAGTATCCAACTCATCTATAAAATCCTTCCCGAAACTTTCCCTGCAGTGATACCTGCAAAGCCCAGCAAACGTGGGTGCTGGAGGCAGCTCCACCTCACCCTCACCCTTTCCCAGTGGTCTCCTGCCACATGCACATTTAAAGTTTTCAGCATTGTTTTTCATCCTCTCCCTGTTCAGAGTGTAACAGCCCAGAGCCCTGGTCCAGCGTCCTGGGCTGTTGCGAAGAAAAGCAAAAGTGCACATTTCTGTTGTAACACAGGGGAAAACTCAAATCTTGGGGAGAACGTGGTTTAGTTCAGTAATCTCCAAACTGTTAAATTTAGAATTGTTGTCTTTGTTCTATTTGCAGCGGAATGCTCTCTCAAGACGAAGTTTATACAAAATACCTTAATGTTGCAATGAACGCAAAAAATACTAAAAAAATTGAATTTCTCTGGAATAAAACCATATTTACTCTGCTCTGGGCAAGATTAGGAGCAGAAACAGTTAATATAGTTCATGGAGAAGATGGACATAAGTAAGTATATCCCTCTTACAGGTCAGAAGGAATGGGAAAGGAGTGCAAAAACTCTAGGAGACAGGATGCAAAAATGGTCTTACTAAACTGAAATCACAGTTTGCAACCAATAATGTGAATTTCAGTAGTGACAAGGACAAGATATTACACTTTGGATAGAAAATCAAATGTTCGAGTACAAACCAGGGAAAAACTGTCTGGAAAGGAATACAGCAGTGAATAATTTGAAATGTTCACTGTTTTTCCACAACAGAACCCTTACAAACCAAGGCAAAGCAAGTCACATCCCAGGTGCGTTACTGGGAGTACTGCATAGAAGATCCAGGAAGTAATTCTTCTAATTTGAATAACTGGGGCAAGCCTGTAGCCAGAAGCAGGGTCATTTTCCAATTTAGAGAGGATACTTCACAAAAAATGCACACAGACTGAAATTTTGAAAAATAGCTAAAGAAATTTAGAAAACTTGATCTGTGTAGAGCAGCTGAAGGAAATGTTTCTTAATAAAGAGCCTGGAGAGGAGCATAAAAATATACACGTAAGCTCTCTGTGAAGGGTCACAGTGAACTATTCCACATATCCACTGGGTTAGGACAAGGTTGAATTGAAGTATTTTACAACAGAAGAAATACTGGTTAGATAGTAGGCAAAAAAACCTTCCTTACAGTTTGGCATTGGCACAGAGAAGCTGATGAAATCTCTTTCAGTGTAAGCTCCTAAAAAAAAAAAAAAAAAGGCTGCCAAGCTTTGATACGGGCAATCTAGTTAAGCACTCAGTCTAAATAAAGAGCCCAAAATGAGGAAATTCACCTTGTTACTATTAATATGCAGATGTTAATATTCCATACAGCAGGCTTTTAGAAAGGTTTACGTGGGATTTTGGATCCAGCTAACAACCCTCAAGGTGGCAGCTGACAACCTTTCATTTTTCTTTGGGGAAAATACATAAACAAATATGATTCAACCATTTTTTTCTTCTCAGGACGACTTTTTGTGGCCATGGAACTGTGACATATGGAGTTCCCCAGCTACTTACACCTTGTTAGAGGTCACCGAGTACAACTGTTCTGTACACAGCAGCTGAGCAAACCATCAGTTCTGTGCATGGGAATGTTGGTACACAGGCTATTAAAGCAAAAATCAAACTGCCTGTTCCTTCCTTTATTTTTTTACCAGTTCTTTGCAAACACACTTGTCTGTTTTATGTTTGAACCAAATTTATTGTCCTTGTTACTATGGAAGCAACTAGAAATTGTATATGCCAAAATCCATTTATAGCACTGCATGGTCATACTATAACAGTGCCTCAAGGTAAGAACTGTTTCCTACCACATTAATAATTTGCTAGATTTTCTATCAAACATTCTCAAATTACCTCAGCCCACTCCTGCAGCTGGGGATGGTCCCAGACACCTCCTTTCCACAGCCTCCGCTATTGCTCAAAACTTTCCAGACCCACACAAGAGCATTGCCCTCAGAAGATGCTCTGGGATGAGGCAAGAACAGAACAAGACCAGGATATTTCTTCAGCAGGTCAGAACAGCCCTTTGTACACTGCACCTTCATGGAAGCAACAGACGAAGGCAAACCTCAAGTGTCCACTCTTTGAAAGAAACTGAACGGCTGAATCACAGCACCTGGCTACTGTCTAATTTCAAGCACGTACCTTTGCTGTGGCCACTGACAATCCTGGAGAGAAACACTGACTTTGAATAACTCCAGGCTTTGTAACCTGGAATTGACTATTTCACATTAAAATGACCACTACTGCTCTACAAAGCATGGCATGAGTGAGCCACATGGAGCTTTAGGAGACCAAGGCACAGGATAGTTTTCTAAGTATAAAAACCAAACTGTAAGTTAATGAATAGGAAGAAAGAGTTAATCATTTATTCACTTCTCTTTCCCCATGTTTGAGAAATTATGTACAAGCACTTGGGAAGATAAACTTCTAAGAAATACAAGTAGAAATACAATATTAAGAATGTACTATAATGACTATAAATACCTGAATGATTTAAAAAAAAAAAAAGCCAATAGTGTTGTATCCTTGAGTAAACATTAATCAAGCCTGTACAAAATTAGAAGCATAATTAAACACAAGTTTGAGGTTTAGCCAAGAGAGAACTGCAGTCCCAAGTACTGCAAGTCCCCCAAGGACTTTACAGATGACAAGGGAGGCATGAACAATGCCAGGAAGCACTGCACCGTGTCCCAGGAGAGCCACAGTGTCCTGCAGCACCAGAAGTCCAGTCCTCTGCTTCCTATTCCAGACCACAGCTTCTTCAGGGCTGCAGAAACTTAGCTGGGCCTTTATTTATAATTTACTTTCTCAAAAGCTGTCTCTTCCAACAGCCCCTGACTGTGAGGCCGCAAGGACCAAAACGGCTCCTCCAGGCACAGAGAGTAACCATCATACAGAGAGACATGCATCCCAGCCCCACCCCTTCTTCCCAAAGGAGAAGCAAGCAGCTGAAACCCATCTGACCATGGCCTAAGGAATTGCCGAAGTTATCCATTTTGCCCTACGTTATTACTTTGTTAAATAAGGGCAGCAGACTAACTATGATAAAATCCTAACTCAAATCTTTTCCACCAGGTCTTAAATTAAACGGGAAAGACCATTCCTCCCTCATTTTAAACAAGTGTTGGAACTTATTCATGTACTAGGGCATGTACTGATTTTCCTGTATCACAGGGAAGACCATTCCTCCCTCATTTTGAACAAGTGTTGGAACTTATTCAAAATGGGCATGTACTAGTACTAACTTACTAGGGCATGTACTGATTTTCCTGTATCACTAAGATGAACATATTTACAAACTAAAATGCTACTTCAATTAAGGACAGTAGCACCGAGCTCTAAATGAGTGGAATTTTCAAAAAGTTAAAAACTTCACTACCATTTAAAGAAATAAACCCCACTAGCATGACGATAGCAGTGCAATACCTATACACACAGCTGATATCCATTTGGTCATTCCCAGAGGCAGAGATTAGGGAACATCAACTCTACAAAGATATGTGAACACAGCCAAAAAGCATAGCCAAGCTGAGAAAGCTTTCCAGCTGAAGAGTTAGCTGAGGTCTCATTTCTTCTTGAGTTCACTTACAGCCTTCTCCAAGAGATGAACAGGACTAAGAAATTCCTAGACATAGTTCTCTTCATTTGCACAGACCTTTTAGTTGATGTCTCTAGTAGAGCAACATACTGAGTTACACAAAGGAGCCCTTTTGCAATGTCTGGGGGAATTTTGTATGTTATTTGTATGTATTTCCAGAATGTTTGCTCTCAGTTCATCATTCAGAGAAGGGCTTTCTCAAAACTTGGCTTACATGGGTAGTACAGAAAGGATCCAAAGGGGTAGATGATTGCCCTTCTACATCTACTTATTTCAACAAGGAAATGAAAGGGACATCAGGAGAAGATCAGACTCTTTCACTATGTAAAGACATACGAGGCCCACTGAGAAGTTTTCCTAAAGGGATAAGGCATTGGCAAACGGACCTGATGTCAGGAAATGAGCGTATAAGACGCAGAAGCACGGGAACATTCCACATTCGAATGCTCCTGTGCATCCACTTAATGCAGGGCAAGGGAGGGGACTTAAAGATGATGTCATTCCTTACTAACTTCCCTAGTAGACCTCCTACATCCCAACCACACAACACTAAAAACAAAAGCCTTCCCAGCCAAGACAAGCCCCAAAACGCACTGTCACACAAATCCACATAATTCTCTTTGATGTCCCACTCCTGATGTGTTGCTGTCTGGGAATTACCATACCTCTGGAGCTCCAATCCTATTCTGGGATCCAGCACATCAACTGAAGAAATCTATGTCCATAGATTTTGGAGGTTTCAGATAAACCAACCACTAAAGTTATTTTCCAGCTTAGCTATAAACTATAATCTAAAATAAATGTTCCTATCTTTCTGGGAACATTTCCAAGGGCAAAGCAGAGTATAAAAAGTACATGAAAAGTTTGCATGTTAGTGCATGGAGCTTCCAGGCTGCATTGTAAGTAGTTCAGGTTTTGGGGTTTTCCTTTTACCTCCTCAGGTATATGGCTTCCCAAGACACAGCAGTACAAAGGGGAATGGCAGCTCACACAGGTGTCCTTATGCAAGTTCTAAAGTAGCTACCATACATCCGATTAGAAGCATAGACTCAACATGACAAAAGTCACTCTGGATTTAAGTTTTGCTTTAGTAGATTTAGGAGTCCCACAATCTCCAGTGGAGCAAGCAAACATAAAGCTGACCCATGCACGTCTCATATATGTGATGGTCATAGATATGTGTCACAGAGAAGACAGACACAGCACCCTTTTCACATGAGAAAATTCAGTACCAGAAAGCTAAATGCACTTGCTAATGAAGCGAGTTAGGAAACCATAGCTGCTTCTTTTTCTACTCTTCTAGATGCTTGGAATTTGGATACTTGCACTATTTCTGCTCAGCACAGCAGAAGGTAAGTACACGGGGTTAGTACTTATGTAGCCTTTCTATGCTGCTGTATTTTGTGAGATATTATTCTACACTACGGTGCTTTATAACTTACTGATTGAGGTTACATGGTTCACTTTCCAGTTCAAGAATGGTGAGAAGACTGTGTGTGCATGTTGTCTTTCCTCTTCTCCACTCTGGAAATCCCACTCTAGGACATATGCAAGAAATGTTGATGTTTTCTATGTCAGAGCAAAGCTCCTGCTCTACCAAGCCTAGGAAATTATTTGTTGTACTCTTCTTTAGTAATGAAAATGGAGAAGAAGCCAGGGGCAGAGGCAGTCTGATAAGAGTATAGCTTTATATTCAGCAAAAGCCACTGGCTTGTGTAGTATAAGATTTCTCACGTACAGTGTAGTCAGCTGTTCTGCACAGTCTCAAGTTATTGCTGATTATTTGCAATATCTTGGCTTGGTATTAGGAGAAACCTATCAGCTGTCTTTGCCTCGGGGAAAACACAGCCGAGGAAAGACACCCAAGGTATGGTACAGGATACCCAAGGAGGAACGTTTGAATGTTTTGTTGATGAGCAATAGAGTGGCTTCTTTCCTTGGGGTAAACTGTAACCTTCGAAGATCTGCAAGAGGGCAACTGTTGTTCTTCACTTTCTGTAAACAGTAGGATTTTCAAGAAAACAAAAGACCTCCGGAGAAGAGATGCTACGAGTTATGACCAGCCTGCTCCACTTCTTTGCTCATTCACACATTATTACTGTCATCTGTGTGCTACAGGCAAAGAAGTTTGTTTTGAAAGGCTTGGATGTTTCTCAGATGATAAACCATGGTCTGGGACTTCGGAAAGACCAATCAGTAAATTACCCTGGGATCCAGAAGACATAAATACTCAATTCCTCCTGTACACAAGACAAAATCCTGCTAGCTATCAAGTAAGAACTATTGAGGTTTAAATATTAGTAAGAGTAAATTAGAGAGTAACTAAACACAGACTGCAGCTGTGTTCCTGGAAAGTGTTAGAAATGGCCAAACCTCCACTTTATTCAAGAGACAACCTCTTCCAGGTCCTTGGCAGGGTCTCTGGGGCAGAAGTCTCATCCTCCTCCAGCCCTCATGAAGCAACACTTACCCACGTTTTCTGTATGACCCCTGAGACGTGCTGGGAAACTGTACCTTTTTAAAATCATTGGCTATTTTTTTTTTCCACAGATAAGATGAAAACACATAAAGAGTAAAGTCTTGGCTGCTCTAAGACATGTGTCAAAGCTTGCTTTGAACGGAGATACAGACATAGTCATGTGAGCACTTACAGATGAGTTTAACATCGCATAACTTTTAAATGCCTGTACAGATGAGCATAGTTCAGGTCTTTGCAATTTTGATGAACTATTTACAGAAAGCAGATTTAAATGTTTATTAATTTAATATCTACAACAGGAGATCTCTGCAGTTGATGCCGCAACAATTGGGTACTCAAATTTTAACACAAGTAGGATAACCAGATTTCTCATACATGGATTTATAAGTAGTGGAGAAGGAAGCTGGTCGGCAGACTTGTGCGAGGTAGGTACGCATTCCTATAAATTGTCTGTTTTCTCTATTTCTAACCAATTTCTTTCGTGGTACTTGAAGTGATAAGAAAGGGGAAAGAGGCCACATTTGCAAATTGTTAGCAACTTCAATATGTAGCTCCGCACCTTAAGAAAAAACATGAGGTAAAATGCATTCAGTTCTTCTCTTGAAGTGAGTGACAACAGGATTCGGCTCAGTAAGTGCCCTTTTTCTCGGTAAAAACAACACAAACCCCAAAGCAAGATACTGCTTAGGAACTAGAATGATTCCAGAAATAACTGCAGACTCCTAACTATTGCATCATATTTCTCCAGACAAGAGACAGGTTTCTAGATGTGGAAAGTCCATCACAATGGTATGGGCTGCCACATGGGTGTTGGAGGCTCTGGACATGGGCTGACAACAGAAGCAATAAAACTGTAGAAATGTACAGCCAGGAGGGACCTTACAGAGATCGTTTTGAACAAAGCTCTCCATCTACGATTAGCTATGAACAGCGAATGAAGTAAAGCACTCCATTTTATTGTTTTTTTCACTAATTCTCCAAGATGTTTCTTGATCCTGTCCCCATACAAAGTTGCATTTTGAGCTTGTACTCTTCTCAAATCCTATAAACATGCTTTCTAAGGCAGCTAATGAAAGCTACTAGTCATATAGCACATCAAGCAAGACAGCAGCTGGTAGTATATGTCACTTTTTGGATAAAGATTTTCAACTAACTACACACAACTACAATTTGTTTAAATTCTGCATTCTTATTTTATTTATGAGAACACTATGAAAAATAATGTGAAAGTCTACTAAAATCAAGATATTTCAAATTTTTCGCATCCCCATTATTTATTTCTCTTTGATACTAGGTCTAAAGAAAATAAATAAATTTGAAAGGTTCTTGTTGAATAAAAAAAAAAATCTGTTGATTATCCCTTTATGAACATTGAGGAATTATTGTTGCATTTGTTAGTTAATAATTTGTTCAAAGTATCAGAAGCAGATTGATGTTTTTCTAATTCTCAGACTCCCGTTTTCCACTCTTAGAACGAATATTCTTTCCTAGACAAGATAACTCACATTTTCCTTCAGCTAGTCCCTTAAATTCTTTTGATCAATTTTCATGAGGATGCAGAGGCATGAGATAAATATTTACATTCTTTCTTGATTACAGTGGCCTATGATTTATCACAATACTCTCATTTATTTCTTTTTTTTAAAAAAAAAAGTTCTCAGTGAATCTTTCCAGTAAAGAGTGTCGTGAATGGGACTGTGAATACATCAGCCCTCCTATGTGCATCTGTTATTTCTTTTCCTTCCCATTAAGTAATAATCCTATCTGCATGTTTCTTTTTACCACTTCTAATATAGTCACAGACACTTCTATTGCTTTTTTTGTCCTTTGCCAGTTGTAACTTCTTTTGGATGCTTTATAATATCTGAACATAAAGCAAAGAAGAAAAAAGGTAACAAAGCTGCTAAAGCAAAATAGATGTAGTCAAACAATCCAGCTCAGAGAAGAAAAGCAAAGCTTCAGATTCTGTGGCAGACAATAAAGTATCTGCCTGTATATACATATTCCCAAATAGAGCCATAAATCTGAAATGATTATTCAGTGACAGCAGCAGTTTATGCACCCTCTTATAAACACAGATGCTCTCTTTCTTACAAACTCGTATCAGAAAAACTCTTGATTTTTATCATCAAAAATATAAACTCTAATTGAATTTGAATTAAAGAAGCACTTCTAAATCATTTAAGTGAATCAGTACATGAGTAGAGTTCTTATTTAGTGTTACATACAAAGTTTGATTGAAATAAAAAATTAAAAGTATTGTATTTATATTGTTATCATATTTATATTGGTTTTGCTTCTGCAAAAATATACTGCTGTGGGTATTTGAAATGATGGTGTGGGCATTACTGAAGCGTACCACCCTACTTCAGTGTTGTGTGAGCACACACACACAACTGTGAGCAGGCATGACCATGTACACATGCTAAGGTTTTGGTTCTTAAAAGCTTCTCATACAAATTCATGCAACATTTATGAGTTGAGCTGTAATAAGCAACATGAATCAATTCCAGATAGTATTTACTGTGGGGCTGTTTGGTTTTTACTTTTGTTTTACAAAACAGAGGATGTTTGAGGTGGAAGATGTGAACTGCATCTCTGTAAACTGGGAGAATGGCGCAACCTGTCTGTACACCCAGGCATCAAACAACATCCGTGTTGTGGGCGCTGAAATAGCTTATTTTGTAAATGTTCTTCAGGTAAGAATCTTCTGGTTATAAAGCTATAGTCATAATGCTGATTTGAAAGAAACACAATTCAGGAACTTTCATGAATGCAACCAGCAGAAAACATTTTCTTCTATGCAGTGATTATTTTAGAAGTTGTGCTGAAAACGGGCTCTTTTTCCTAAAGTTAGAGAACTGTGTCACTACAGCAGGGTTAGTCAGCTTATGCATATGAAGCCCTACAAGACATCCCTATAGTACGGCCAAACATTTATTCCATAGATGTTAACAAACATAAAGTGCTGTGCAGTTTTAAACATGCAGAGATAACAGGCACAGCAAACTGCCTTTTCATGGAGACAAAACCTATCAGCCAGCTCTTGAGAATGCCAGAAACCCAGCTGGCAGCCAGCAGCAGCTGGAGGACAAGTGCTCTCAGGTAAGCAGCCACCACTGGGGACCCACCAGGTAGGACCCATCCAGCTGCCTCGGCAGACAGCTGCTGTGCACAGTGCCTAAATCTACAGAAGGTGCCATGTGCCTCTGTTCTTAGCTTCTTTTCTTTAACTTCACATGGGGAGCGATGCTTGGTTTGGAGCCTTCTTTTAATCTAAGTGATTTCAACACACATTTTCCATAAGAGAACTACACATTACCTAAATGGGTAGTATGGTGGGTCTAGGAGTGATCTGACCTATGTCTCACTCTCTACATCTGCATTGCAGCCACTGAATTACTGTCCAAAAAGGCTGAAGGCATCTCTCCTTTTGCGTCCTCCTCCAGCTGCATGTGTTGCCTGCCCTGCCAGGTGTAACTGAGAATTCCTGCTCAGCTGAATCTTGCAAGCCAGATAAGCATCCTGTGAATCTTAACGGGGCTAGAAAGTAAGATGGATGCAGAGCCTCTCAGGGCTCTACTGACAGAGCTGTCTAGAGTTTTAACAGCCTCCAGACGAGGACAGCAGCTGAATAAGGAGTTTTGAAAAAATCTGTGTTTTGGGCATAAGTACCTAAATTGGCAAAGAGATGCTGAAATCCTATAGGAGTTCCTGAGTCTATAGTCAAATTAAAAGTAGTTTTTCAGCCCCTTTTTACTCCTCCCTGTTGTTGGAAACAGAAGCAGTAATTTTTTTATATTGCTATTTTCTCAGGAACAATATGGATACTCTCCAGCAGCCTTGGAGCACATGCAGCAGGAGAGGCTGGCAAGAGGAAGGCAGGGATTGGAAGAATAACTGGTAAGTCAGTGACTTAAGTCACAGCTCATACTAAAGACACCACTATTTAAGAAAACATTGCAGTTCATTTTCTGTTACGATTGTATTTGATTGTGGGCTGTAGTTTAGTCAAGGGTAATTTGGGTAATCTAGAACTGAGCCTCTTCTCACAGTACAGAGGAGCAGAGCCCAGGTAAGTGTGGGAAAACAGACAGTACAATGATTATTTTCCTTGCATATTTACACAGTAAGGGAAAGGCTCCATACGGCTGGCAGAGCCAGAATGCCCCCTGCACTAACACTGGTTGACTTGCTGATACATATTAATGGCTGCAGCAATCTCTACAGAGCTTGCTTTCTGGAGCTCCAGCCTAGCAGTGTCACTGCCCAGACTGGTGCCAGTTTGGAGCAGGATGGGAATGATTCTGTAACACAACTACATTCCATTGTGGCTGCTAAAATGCAAACTCGCAATAGCTAACATATAACCAGAACCAACTTTAGCTGCCATGATTTTTTTTTTCAAATGTATTTGTTCAGCACTACTGTAATAGGACAGATCAGGAGAGTAATCCCTACCTTCTTTGTTTTAGCAGTCTTTCTCCTGCTGTTTTCATCTTTCCTTAACCTGGCCTCTTATAGCAGCACATTGATGCGCAACATCACCCACAGCTTGCAGGTCCCTCCAAAGCATGCTAGAAGCAGTGCAACAGTGAGCAGTTAGTTATTTTGTACTGTTGTTTTGTTAACAACTATCATTTCCCAGAAAAGGATGGACTAAACGTGCCGTTTCAGCAGCGGTAGGCTAACCTTCCTGATACCTCACTCATTAACATCTTGTTTTGCTATGTCTGTGTAAACTTTTCATCCAGTAGAGCACATTAACAGCAATTTTTATTATTATTTCCAGCAAACTTTCTAAAGTTTAATTTCTTCACTTAACTGTTGATATACTAAATCTCTGAATTTCCTTGGCAGAAAAAAATTGAGTCACATAGGACTATCATCTGTCCAGATTCAAGGAGACCGACTACGAATCTGCACACACATTTACAGAAACAGTCAGATTTCAACAGAATCCTCTATTTCTTTGAGCGAGATCACAGGCATTATGTTTATACAATCTGCCTTAGTTTGAGCAACACAATCTCACTCCTACTTTCTAGATAATGTCAGATCTGACTGATCTGAAAGTGAAAGCCACGGCCCCCCACCCCCCTCATTTTCACTATATTTCTAAGTAATAGCCTGTCCCTTTTAAGCACTCCCACGTTTCTGAGTTTAGATATTTTTAAGACATACAATCTTGTTCTCCTAATTTTTGGTCAGCTCTACTGATGCAGTTTTCGTTTCTCCAGCACTGAATTGCTCTGTTGTCTTTCCTGTTCTGAGTCACACACACTACACTGAGAAAGTGAGGAAGCCTCTTGCTAGTGCTGAGCTGGGTTTTCCTGTTCAGTTCTTTCAGATCAGGCATTTTTGCTTCTGATTTGTTTTATAGCTGTCCACATGTCACCTTGAATATGCAGACTCTGGACATCCTCCACTGGTCCCATAAATAGTGTCTGTGTCTCACACGATACAACAGATGAAGCCTTTGTGACTATTGGCCAGATGCGTTTTCATTTTCCCTTTGATCCAAGTTTTCATTTTCCAGCACCCTTTGGCTTGTAATCTGGTCTCTACCCAGGCCAGCTGAGAGCAAATGACGTTTGAAGGAACCGTTTTGCAACAGTGCGAGACTTAAATGATGAAAACACGTACGGCCAAAAGGCAACGCGAAGCTCCATGGAAGCGTGGGCTGTCTCAGCCCCTCTGCCCACAGCAGGAACATCAGTGCAACATAACCCCTGCGTAACCACTCGCCATATCCCTGCGCTGTTCTCCAAGGGCGAGCCCTCATCTTTTTTAAATCATTTAACTGACTCTTTAAAAAAAAACCAAATGTCAATCAAATAGGCATATTTATTGCAGTATGTATTAATTTCTAAAAGATATTCCAGAGACTTTACAAAGCAGAGACCCCCATTTCGAGTATTTTAAAGTCTCCAATACTATCCCAGAGAATGAAATTGAAAGAGGTATTATCAACTAAACTTGAGATCAGACCACTCCTTTCTCAAAATACAGGTAACTCACCCTGCAGTCTGTGCTCTTTAGCAATTTCTTAACATGTTCAGCACTTCCAGAGTTTAAAGCTATGGGCTTGATCTCCTTATTCATCTTGCAGGCAGCTCCAAGGGCATCGTACATTAAGCACAGTGACCTTTCATACACAAAAGACATTTTTGGATATTATTAACACAGCCCTTTTCCATTGTTACTTGTCCTCAGGGATTTCAGGCTTGGTGAACCTTGGACTAATAGCCTACAAAATTCAGCCTAAAAGCAAAACAAAATCTGCTGCCCACAGGCAACAAGAGATGCAAGTATAAGGCAGCAAAAATTGTGCAATTTGCAAGACTTTACAAGCTCCTGAAATTGCAGCAGCAATTTAGGAAGCAAATGAGTTCTGTTTTCTGCTAGGATCAAAAGGAAAGATCATCACTTCAAAACTACAGGTTTTTACAAAATCTGACTGGAGCCACAAGTAGACAGGCTGGTTTCAACACCTCCAAGCACATGGGGTGCTATCAGCATCAATTCGTGTTTTAAGTAGCCTCAGACAAGGTACTCTAGAAATCATGCAGATAGATCAGCTATATGGGATGCAGACACAGCTACCTCAAATTGAGTAACGTTATTAAAGGGAAGATTAAAAAAAAAAATGTTATATCCAAGTGTTGAGATTCCATATTGATGTAAATCAGTAAAATTTAATAGACTTCACACAGGTAACCCTTTTTCCTTTCTTGGAGAAAGCTACTTGGTAAGAGAGAGCACACATCATTCATTGATTAATGCCTATACTACTTAGATGTAAGAAACCATCGATAACTATATAGGTGATATTCATTACATACAATTACAGTCTCATGTAAAATGATACATCTATATCTTTTTATCTATACATAACACTGGTCTTTTTCTTTCAGGGCTGGACCCTGCTCAACCTTATTTTCAAGACACTCCAATTGAAGTCAGACTGGACGCATCTGATGCGGAGTTTGTTGATGTTATCCACACAGATATAGCCCCCACAATCCCCTATTTAGGTAGGTATTCAGCTCTACTGTAGTAATACTGAATTATTTAGGTCCTGTGGCCCTTAAGTATCCTGATCCTTCATCAACTCAGTTGTTCTGGGTGGTGCATAGACAACAGAACAAATACATCATTCTGGTCACTAAAAGCTCATATCCTGAAACAATAAGCACAGGCAAACTTCAAGCCAGCAACTATGAGGCAACGTGAATTTAAAACGTGCTTACCTCTGCTTTAAACACTTCAGGTTTTGGAATAAGCACAGCTATAGGACATCTTGACTTTTATCCAAACGGAGGAGAGGAAATGCCAGGGTGTGATAAGAACGCCATTTCAGAGATCGTAGATATTGATGGCATCTGGGAAGGTAAGCATGTTGATTACATTACAAATTCAGGGTAAGGTCCCTCCTCACAACGTAACGACTTAACTTTTCTCAGTTCAGGTGTTTTGCATCAGCTTTTGGTGCGTCCACCAGCAGCCGCAGCTGCGGAGTGCGGTGAAACTGTTAATATGCTCAAAACACACCATCTTCCAGAGCTTATTCAAAAATAAACAGGACAAAGGGTTTGCCTCTGGAAAGTAGCCTCCCCTGAAGTATCTAACAGCAGAAATAAAAGTTACTGAAACGGTGCCAAAAATTTTGAAGGGTCTGTAAGAACACACTTCACTTTGTTTCTATGCAGCTGCCCAGCAGCAGTACTGGGTGGAGTAGGGCAATGACGCAGCTGCTTCCGTTAGGGTATCTTCAGCTGCAATTCTTCTGAGACAGAGCAATTAATTTATTTTTTTTTAATTACCTATTACAATCTAGGTTGCATTAAAGCAATGCCATTGTGTCTATTTTTAGTCAGCTAAAAAAAGATTGGCACGTAGCTGCTCAGATTCGCAGTTCTTTGTTGTTTTACATGGTTCCAATAAAAGCTCCAAGCATTAGAAAATTTCCATGTGTCTTTATAAAGTTAAATTGCACATAATATTAAAAAAAAAAATAAACCAAAAAACAAGATTTCTGCTGTCAAGATTTTTCAGTACATTATCTGAGCTATTTCTTACATCACTGCAAACACCTTAAACTCTGAGAATCCATGAACTTATTTGTGATAACTAGCCTTTTTCTCTAGGTTTTATTCAATGCAGCTGGAGGTACTACTTTTTTCTTTTTCTTTTTTTTTGATAAGAGTAAACTTGTTATCAATAATGGGGAATTAAAGCACAAAGAAATAACTGTGTTGCATATGATCTTCTTTTTAACCTAAAGTCAGGAAAATAAAGGTAACACAAAGGAAAATAATATATTCATTATTTTAATTTTAAGAGTGTCCCTTCCTTAAGCACCCCTCAAATAATAATAATAATTTTGTTTTGAAGTCCTCAGCTGGAGCAAATCAGCATTGCCCTAGGAAGTTCACTGTTAAATACTTTTCATTTGGTTTTCTTTTGTTATGGTAATGTAACTGTTGCCTACAAAAGACCTGCTTCCTGCGGCTCTCATTTCTATTGTGAAACTCGGTCAGATTACTTGAATAAGTGTTGGGGAGAGGAGGGGAGGGCAGGGGCTGGGCTGAGCTACACAATCAGGCTCCACAAAGCGTTTTAAGTTTGCATTTTATACCTGTTGAGTCAATGACATTTGTTATAGCATCAATTCATTGTAAAACCGAGCTTCAAACTTTATGTTTGGTACTCCAAGAATTGTGACAAGGCTTTTGAGGAGGAACGAGGAATCTCAATGACATGGCAAGGGCTATGCCAGCATCTTTCCTTGAATGGTAACAGAAAGAACGAGCTAACCTGGGAGCATCTTTTCACAGGAACTACGAACTTTGTGGCTTGCAACCACTTGCGGAGTTACAAGTATTACGCTGACAGTATTATCTACCCTGATGGATTTCTAGGCTATGCTTGTGATTCATATGATGTTTTTGAAACAGTAAGTATGTCTCAGAGACTCAGGATGGGCCATCTAGAAAATAGTGGCTCTTACACGTACATCTGAAATTCAATGTATTCATGATAGCTTGCACACAACGACTGCATCCATAAGAGAATTAAGTGTCAGACATCTTAGAATCATGGAATGGTTTGGGTTGGAAGAGACCTCAAAGATCATTTAGTTCCAACCCCCCTGCCATGGGCAGGGAAACCCTCCACTACACCAGATTGCCCAAAACATCATCCAACCTGGCTTTGAACACTTCCAGGGATGGGGCATCTACAACTTCTCTGGGCAACCTGTTCCAGTACCTCACCACCCTCAGAGTGAAAAATTTCTTCCTTATATCTAATCTAAATCTCCCCTCTTTCAGTTTGAATCCATTGCCCCTTGTCCTGTTGCTACATGGCCTTGTAAAAAGTCCCTCTCCTGCTTTCCTGTAAGCCCCCTTTAAGTACTGGAAGGCTGCTATAAGATCACCCCAAAGCCTTCTCTTCTCCAGGCTGAACAGGCCTAACTCTATCGCTCATGCAGTTGACACAGGTCAATGTAGGAAAAGGCAACAACAAAACAGGGATGCTCCTGGTTCTGCACTGATGTGACAGCCCTGAGGCAATTCTGGAGCTAGCCTGGCTTCCCCAGGCCTGCTCTGCTGCATCAAACTGGGGAAGAGGTAAGGAGGGGAGCCTGCCCCTGCAATCACCAAATGTATTTATCAAACAGCAATGAGTGTAATCCCATCCCGTAGCAGGTGAGCTTTCAAACATAGCTTAAATACCTTCTTTTCAAAACAAGAAGTAAAATAATATGTGATGGCCTGATGGGGTCAGTGTTTTGGTGACTGAAGGTGGCCTCAGGGACAAGGTGCAATGGTTTACGGACTAGGTCAGGAAGTCCTTCTCTGTCCCAGACTGGGAGACAAGGAACTACAGCCTAAGAGTAGCAGGGAGGTAATGGGCTCATCATATCCTACAGGCAGAAGTAATATAGTGCTTTGGCTGACCTTTATAAATTCTGGGCAGGTGACAGAGATCACACTTCTCAGATCACTTTGGGAGAAGGTGACTACCTACTTCTGTCACCACAGTAGAAAGCTGCTTTCACAGCAAAAATGTGCTTCGTTTTCAAGACAAAGCCTTTCTTGACCCAACCCAAAGGTATAAGGAGACACCATTCTTCTTCATCTGTTGCTGGGAAGGACATCTCCTCCTCCCTGCCACAGTTCAAGACTATTCAAGGATGTCACTGATGCGGCTGGGTTGAGGTAAATGGCATGAGGAATAAACATAACACCCTGAAAAATTGGAGCCTTTAGAAAGTTGGCTAGCTTATATGATCTTTCTCAAGTCACAGAAAGGGTTACCTGAAATCTATTGTTGCTGTGACACAGGGCCAGTTAGGTGGGTATGTTAAAAATAAGTTCTATTACTATTTTTTTTCTTGGGTGAATAATTTTATTAATAGATACATTTATTTTCACTAGGAAAGCTGTTTCCCATGCCCAGAAGAGGGATGCCCAAATATGGGTCACTTCGCAGATAAATTCAAAAGCCAAATCAAAAACGATACTCTGAAACTTTACCTGAATACCGCCGAGTCCAAGGATTTTCCTCGTGAGTTTTGATTGCTTCCATTCCTACCTACTCCTCATAAACAAACCTTTTTGTTTTCCTGGTTTACAATTAATTTTAACAGATGAACAGAACTCATAGCAGTGCAACGGGTCTTCAGTCCTTCATGGCTTTTCCTTTTTTTCTCCAATACTAGTGTAGTGCTCAGTTTTGGGTCCTCCAGTGCAAGAAAGAAGGTGACAAACTATCAAGTCCAGTGGAGGTCACTGAGATGTTTAGGGGGCTGCACTACAAGATACATGGAGAAAGGAGGATAGGCAATGCACAGAAGTCACAGCAAGAGTTTTTTATTAAATAGTATGAAAATTACTGTCACAATGACAGTGTTTAACACTCAGGAAGAGTACCCCAGAGAGGCTACGAAATCTCCACCTTTGGAGATGTTCAAAACTCAGTTTGACAAAGGTCAAGAATGAGCCAGTCACAGCTGTCCCTGCTTTGAGAAGTGGATGGCCCGGGAGACCTCCATTACAACCTAGGTTGTCCTAAACGTCAGCTCTTACAACATGGTTCTTCATTTGCCTTTGTAAACATGAATCAGAGGGAGAAGAGATGCTTTTGCAAATTGTGTGCTAAAAGAAATTTCCCACCCACAAAAATGATTTTCCTTGGGCTTCAAAATGTTTTTACACTCCTTTTACACTACTTATATTCTGATATGTATCCCTGTTAATTCCTGACACCCCCTTCTTTCCAGCTTCACTGTATATGAAAAACTTTGTGGTCAAAATGCTGAGATCTATATTGTGTTTACCATGTCATGGACTAGCTGCTTCTTTTTTTTCTCCTCCCAGAAAGTAACACAAATGTCTATCCATTTCTCAGGTTGATCTCATTAGGAAATAATGACAGAAGTGACTCATAGTGGTTTGTATTTGTTTTGCATGGTTATAACCCAAGGAAGAGCACCAAGATTCAGGTGTGAGAGAGCATTGTGTTAACCTCTTTCAGCCTAGACAGTCTGCAATGTAGCCTTGAGGTGAAAGGCAGTGATTATTTTCTTTGCTTTCAAATACATTGTACAGACTAAAAAAAACTCCACATTTGATATTTTGGAGGCTGTTTCTCCCTGCATATAATCTAACTTACTGTATTTCTGCTGCGTAGTTTGGAGGTACAAAGTAACTGTGACGCTCTCTGGAAAGAAGAAAGTTAGAGGATACGTAAATATTGCCCTGTATGGAAGTGGTGGGAACACAAGGCAACATCAGATCTTCCAGTAAGTTCAAACTTCCATGGAAAAGAAATTCTAAAATATTTAATTAATATCTTCAATTAATGTTTCTGTTTAAATTGGTCCTATTTTACAGACCACATTCTATCCCCAGATACAGCTCTCTGATAAAACTGCAGTGACAATTCGCTCTGGATTTGAAGGCAGAAGTTTAGGATGCAGGATTTTAAAATGTTAGAAAAGAGTTTGTTTGCTGGAAAGTTTCACTTATTTGCTGTATCACTGAGGTCTTGCTGGACCTACACCAGCAGAATTCTGATTCTTTGTCTTTCACGGGCTTGTAAAATGTTGCTGCTAAAGATACCTCATGATTTACTACTGCTTTTTGCGGCTCACAACTTTGTTTGCTGACACTGAAGCAGGTTGCTTGCCTCATGTGGTTTTGTTTCTTTGCATTTTTCCTGTTTGTTTCAACTAAAACATTTGAAATGATGAAAAATAGGGAAAAGGCATTTAGATGTGGGTTTTGAGTTTTTTTGGGTTTTTTTGTTTTTTTTTTTTGTTTATTGACAACTATGTCACTTCCACTTTTCCAAGAAGGACTCCACACTTGGCAGTAGGTGTTTGCTCTGAGTTGATTCTTGTTTGCAGGCATCCATGCATTCACCTGAGATCAGTCTGCCAATACTGAATACACTCCAGCACTCTCTAGTTGCTATTTACAGGGCCTGTGTCAATTCAATTCTGGGAAGTGAACATTTTTTTTTTTACCCAGCAAATCTTGTTCCAACCTACCAGGCACCAATGTGGATCCAGCCAAGAAACAGAAAGGCAAAAGAATTTTGTCTCGTCTCTCGTTACTTCTGCCACCACAAGCCTGTTAATACGGAGAAGAGTAAACATGCTCCTCTGAAGGCGGATGAATGAGAGTGCAAAGCTGGAGGAAGGAATAAAAATCATATCTTTCTCATGAAGCTTGTTAAAACTGTAGAGGATTCTTCTGGGTGGTTCTGCTGGGACCTCTCCTTCCCCCCCCCCGCCATGTCTCTCAGGTCATGTCTACAATAACAGCTCTGCAGTGATAAAGCCACCACACATTCAAATCTCTGATTTCATACAGAAGGGGCAAATTTAAGAAAGTAGTCCTTCACCTTCAGAGCATGGGGGTGGGAGGGGGGCAAAGGAGAGGATCAGAGAAGCATTGGCTTGTATGCAGTGAGATATAGTAGCCAAAGCCATTACCAGTCTCAAACTGTTGCCATTTAGAGCACGTTATAGTGATGCAAGGGGAAATAAGTAGCCAGAGAGCAGGTGCACATTTGACTCAGCCATGGTGCTGCAAGTGTGGGAATCACTGCTAAAGACCCAGGTTGAGCAGCTGATGGATAATATTTTTGGCCACGCCAAACAAATCCAACATCTGTATCATATAAATTAATTAACATTAAATGAAAATTTCACTTCTGTGCAAAAAACCCTGCCTACACAATCAACACGGAGCAAGCTCTACCTTCTTCATGGGATTTGTCATGTAAGTGAGTCTTCATTGTGAGGAGTGACTGCAGCACATCAGGCCTACCTGCCTTTGCTTCTTCTGACCAATTTGGGGTGAATTATGTTGAAAAAAGGACAGTAATGTCGTTACCGTTTTATAAGCTAAATAATATTGTCTCTTTGCTAACTTTCTACTCACTACCACAGCCAATCAGTTGACAGGACTGACAATTAATATTGAATGCCAGCATGCCTCACATCCATAAAATGTTATTTTTCACAGGGGAACCCTCCAACCGGACAACACTTACACAAGCCTCATTGATGCAGAAATTAACGTTGGAACACTTACAAAGGTTAAATTTCTCTGGAACAACAACTGGTTAAATCCAACTCTTCCTAAACTAGGAGCTGCAACTGTCACAGTACAATCTGGAGAAACTGGAGAAGAGTAAGTATACCCATTGTGAAAATCTTGAAAGTTACTTGGGAGGATAAGTGGCAAAATTATGTGTGGTGAAAAAGCATTTTCACAAGAAAAGCTATTTAAAGCATTCAAAGACTCTCAAGAAAACCTTTTCTTTCCTTCCTTTCAAGACACTGTTCATCCATAGTTCAATTCACTAGTACTTCAACCCTTTGCCTTAAATAACTTCAAAGACAAACTTAAAATATTTCCAGGCTTCAGAAGAGCAAACTTCCTGTATAACCCTTTGGGTGAGAAAAATTAGCGCTGGCTTGGATTATCAGCATCATTCTTGCCAAGCTCCTACTGTCCACAAGAACTGGTTATCTGTGTCTGAGCTTGCGTTAGAATGTCTGATTCACTGTCAGCTGGAACCAATGGAAATTTTCTGTTGATGTTGATGGTCCCTGAGATCATGATTGGCAAAAGAGAACCGTGATAATAAGTCTACCCTTCTAATGAACAAGACTAATACTTTGAAGCTGTGCCTGAAAGGGTACATCTAAAGCTAAGGGAAACAGGCTAGAACTGATTTCTCTATGCTTTGTTGAATATGGATGTTCAGATTATAGGATTGTGATTTACTGATCCAGTTTTACTCATGTTCCTGGACTGTTTTTTTTTAAATCTCCCTCGTTTACTTGACTGGTTATGTTATTTTATCCATCCTATGGTTAGGTATCTAGAAGAGGAGGTACAGTATATGTTTTAGACCCATATACAAATTCATAGTTAAAATGCCATTGCTTAAAAGACAATAGAGGAAATGTAGTTTCAAGCAAAGCAAAATGATCACAGCCCAGCAGCATTACCTTTAAGCAGAGCTCCCAAGTCCAGTTGTAGTTCCTGCTCACCAAAGCACGTTGCTGATGAAGAGTATTCCTGTAGATATGTGCTCATTCTTTTGTTGACTCATGCCCTTTGCACAAGTAGTTGTGATCATCTACACAGCGACAGTAGCGCAAAATCTGGAAAAAAGAAAAAGAAATTAAAATGAAAGGAAGGCAAGCAGTCAGCCAGAATGAATACAGTCCATCAATACTTTTCCCAATCAGTGATATTTCAAACTTAGGAGCTCAAAGTATTTTGTGTTCAGTTGTGTCAAATGACAAATCAGGTTGACTTATATTAGAACAAATCTACTTGTATAATCTTAAAAATCTTGACAACTCAAGGCACTCATATATTTTTGTTTTCCTCAAGATTCCTCTTCTGTGGTTCCGAGACGGTGAGGGAGGAGGTTCTGCAAACTCTTACTGCTTGCTAACAGCACATCTGGGCACCCAAAACCTTGCTACCAATAAAAGCTAGTCATGCATAAAACACTGGAGTCTGCAGTCACTGCAGTTATAATACTGGTGATGTGGGTTGGGGTTTTTTACTGGTTCAGGGCGGGGAGTGTGTGCCTGTGGATGCCTGTCTATAGACAAAATTTTTAGAATAGCTTTAGGAGTGAATGAGCTGAAGTCCATTGAAAAATTCTGCTATTTCAGCCCGTTTCAAAATAATTTCAGACTGAAGGCTAAGCCGAGAAATAGTGTGAAATAAAGATGAAACAGAGATAGCAGGGTGAGTGGTTACAAAATGAGGCTGGAAGTTTACTATTAATTACCTGTTAGAGATGGAACAGGGAATATGATGGAGAACCGATAACGTGTTTTGGTGTGTTAATGCTGAACTAAGCTTGGGCCACGTGATCTGGATAGAATTGAGAAAGCTGCATAGCAAATTTCAAATGTTAATGAAGTTTCACTAACATGCTTATAGTCACAACAATCACCAATGTGTCCCAAAATCCCATATGCTTGCCCTGAGCCTTGAACAAAACTGCCAAATGATGAAGCTGTCAAGTCACAAAAGTGGTAAAGCAAGAGGGAGCCACTTCTTGCTCTGCTTTTTGACAAACACATTTGGCTGAAGTGTGGACAGTTCACAAGTCCATTTCTGTCCCTAAGTAATCCTGTCTCAGCTCCTTCAGCCTGCTACTGGGGAAGTGCTCTGTTTCTCCTCTGCTCCCTGAGCAACCCCATCCTCCCTGAAAAACCTGGAGAACTACTGGGGACCGAAGATCTACCACTCCTTGGGACCTTTTCTCTTCAGCAGTTTCTCTTGAGGTTCCCCAAGCTGGAGCACTCTGTTCTTTCTGCCCCTCTGTTTTTTTCCTCCCCCAAGAACATCTTGTCCTGAAGGACATCAACCCTTTAGCAAGGCTTCAGATTCCCCTCGCGATGGTGGAGGTTGAAACCAATTTATTCTGTGTTGGTGCACTATTCTCTTAATACAGAAGAAAAAGCAGCTTAATTAATGCAGCGCATTCTGCCAGCTCTAGTGGGGAGATGGGAGGGAGAGGGGGTTGTAAAAGAGTAGAAAAAGACTCATCAGCACTGAACATTGGCAACCTATGGACATGTTCAGAGGTGGAATATGTTCCTTATGTGGAAACCAAACTGTTCCTTGGTTTAACCCAACTGAAGAGAACATCCTCCAGCAATTTCAGTCTTAGTCCAACATGCAGAGGCTTGCTTTCATGTTTAAAAACCTTCCAAATGGCACTTGTGCTTCTTGCCCAGATTAAAAGACACTACCCGATTGTGCTGCCCCAGAAGCATAGAATGAACCAAATTTTGATGTGGAGAATCACTGTTTTCTGAGTCCCTGAAACCTGACCATAGGTAGGATAACAGAGAATAAATATGTGAATTAGTAAAGGAGACACCCCTTGCTATGCTGTTATAGATGTGTGGGGTATTAAAATGCTAAGACATTTCTTGTCCAGCTTCTCTCAAGAGGGAAAACAGATGTTTTTCATCTTGACAATGGTACTAGTGTCTTCCCCTCATTACGTTGTGTCCCTCCCTGTGCAGCTCCCCATGGCAGCAGCAAGTGCAGCAAAGCGCACAGCATAGAAGTTTTATTTCTGTGTTTTCCTCCCCGTCTACACTGTCCACGAGGGTTATAAGATAACACTTATTTTGTCTCCAGTTTTTCCCATCTGTGGTCAGCCTTACAGTGGTAGAATAAGAGAGTAAGGCTTAATTAGTGTGATGTGAATTGTTTGTCCTGCATCAGGCTGTGATAAGTCCAGTTTTCGGTTGCTCCTGGAAAGTCTGTCTTGGCTTTCTGGAGCTGCAGCGCAGGAGGCAGAGGATCCAGCTGCAGAACGCTACACACTTTCACACTTCATTCATGCCATCCAGTCCAAGGAGGAACACATATTCCTTCTCCAGGAGAAACAGATATGGGTTTACCCAGAGGACGTGCAGTCACAGACACCAGAGTTGTCATTTGATGTCGGGTTTCCATGTACCCCACGTCCCTTTGACATCACCTGCCTCCTTCTGCCTTGACTATTTGTCTTGTCTAGAATTTGCCTTCCCAATCTCAGTACTTCCTGCTGTGGAAACCTCAACAAGGCTATTAACTTCCTAACACTGCAGAAGAGTTTCTCCTTTGTCTTTTGTTCCTTTACCTTAGTATAAGCAGATTCTTGCCTACACAATTGTTTTGACAGTCATGATATTCTCTACATTATCCTTTGCCATAGCCACTTCAGCAGCCCATGTAATTTTAACAAACACCTAACAGAACCAGGACGTTAAAGTTGACAATAGCATAATAAAAAATCTCCTTTTAATAATGAACTGGAGCTGCCGTCATCTTGTTTTAGCAGAGTAAAATCTCTCCCCCCCCCCGAACACTTTACAAAGCTATTACATAAAATGCAATGTTAAATGAACAACAAATTACTTTCCCTTTAGCTAGCTTTTAATGCTAATGGTGCTATTTATTCCTGACCTTTTGAAATATTAGATTTTTTAAATGACAACATAAAAAGAATTCTTGTTTGAAAACGTAAGCGACTTTAAACCACATGTTATTACTTGTAAGTATAGCATGCACACGCATCATTCATTTCGGTGTCCCATTTATGGCTAATTGGTATATATTTCAGTTGACATATATTGTTCTCCTGCAAACGTGTCAAATTCCTTAACGATGTCAGTGACAAAAGCATAGTGCTTGAGATATATAAATTACGCTTTTTACCATATAATCATTCTTATCTATTGGGAATGCTATTTGTGACAAATCGTGTTCAAAAATACAGGCTAAATTGATTATTTTTTTAAACTTTAATATCGCACCATTCATGGCAAGTCTTTGATTGAATCTTTAAATGTAGAAATGTTTTGATTTTTATCTGCATTATTTTGCAGCTTTTGAAAAGCTCACTATATTTATTAAAGGAAGAGCAGCACAGCGCAGATCTTAAAATGTATCTTTTGTTATCAGCATAAGAAAACAAATGGGCTATAATTGTGGATATGGAATGAGTAATTTGGTGAACAACGCTTTGTGCTGTAGTTTAGGTTTTATAATTCCTGCCAGAAATTACTATTATTTTGTTGGTGGGCAGCATTGCAATCAGAATTTTAAATATGGGAGCAACTTGGGCCACGTATTTTCATTACATTTTAGATTGCCATGTGCAAAGTATTTCTCTCTTATATTACAAACCATCTGAGAACAATAAAAAAAAACTTGAAGATTTCATGTGACTAATTATTACTGAGATATAGCAGTGCTCATTGTTGTCTTTAGACAATGCTGTCTATAGTCATTACTTTGCTCCATAAATCAGTAGGATAATGAGGTTCTATCTTTCAAGAAATATTTGAGCGTATCTTAATTTGGCATTGATGAATTTTCCTTCCCCAATCTCTTGAGTTTTTTTTTAATCTAGTTTGTCACATTAGAGCTTTCATCACCTAGCCACGCTGACACTGTTTATGTATGCATATTTATTTCCATACCTTTCTGGGATGTGGCCTCAGAGGTTGCAAACAGGAATTTTATGATGTTATGCCTGAAGGCTATTTTGTTTTTAATTTGAGTGTAAATCACAAGCTATTTTGCCGCACCCTCATACTTCAGAAATATATACTCCGTATGGTTGTACTTAATTGTGAAAAAACAAGGCTAAACTTGTTAAATTCCTGTTACTTTTAAAAATTGGAAACTGTTTCTTTGACAAAGAGATATTTACTTATAGAAAATACTGTCTTTTGAAAAAAAAAA